CACTTCTGTAAAAGTCTTGCAGTACACACCTTGTAGTATGAAACAAACTGCACACATCTCTCATTCACATATTCACACAGCTGTGTTTCAAACATGCAGATATTTATTCACTAAAATGAATAAATTAGAATAACCTTGTCCTACAACGTGGTTGTTTCACCGACAACCACGTTTAAAAATATTTCTTCTTGTTGTATTCTCATTGTAGCCAATATGTCAATATTTAAATATGTCAATTCTTAAAGATAATAAATTTCAGAGGTATTTTGTGCTAAACAAATGCAGCCTTTTTGTACCACAAGTGCTATAAACTGAAAAATTTAACTAGACAAATTAAAAAATTTTTAAATTTTAGATGGTTGATGTGTATCCAAAGAGCAGAAGAAAACCACCAGCACAGAATAATAACTTTTCTCATCTGTTTTTTTTCATTTACCTTTGTATTTTTCTCTATCGTCGTCCTCGCTTTGTGAAATCCGGAGAGCTGTGTGGAGATGTGTGTGTCTTTGTGTGTTTTTCTGCCTCTCTGTTCTCACAGGGTGTAACTGGAATAGGACTGGAGCTATAAAAATAGAACCATGGACTTTGACTCAATTGGATCAACAACTAAAAATGATCAACGCCTGGCACAGATGTTGTACCACTTTAATCATGTCGAAACAACACATCATTCAAATTAAGTGGCACATTTTTGTGCCTTGTATTGTACTCCTTGTACTGTGAGGGATATTGTCTTTTTCAGAGGGTGGTAAGAAAAAAAAAGATTGTTGTGCTGTAAGATTAAGTCGGCATGATCTCAGTTCAGACAAATACTTTTTTTTTCATTTTACAATAATAGAGGGAGTATTTTGTAAAATCAAAAACACACCTGGAGTTGTTGCCGTAATCTTCACTGCATATTTGAGAAATCCTTTAATCGCCTCCCGGATCCATGTCAAATTTGGATTGGACAACACACCCAGGAACATAAACCGATTGAGCAGAACAGAAGAAAGATGGCGGGTGAGGTTGGACGTCAGCACATCGTTTTAAATGCTAACATGACTTTTTTTTTTTAAACTTTGGATAAAGTTTTGGAAGACGTGAAGCTGCCAGGTGTGTGTGTGTGTTTTTTTCTTTAAATTGCCATACTATTCGCAGAAATCTTAACATTGTTATTATAAAAACATATTTTAAAGCACACTGAAAATGGCAGAAAATGTACTAAAACAAATCACGTTAATATAAAGCTTAGTCTCCTCCATATGAGGACACTACCTACTGCCAAAGTTCAATAGTCTATGGGATAAATTTAATTTGAGTTTGTTAGGTGTTTGATTATGGCTGGTCTGGGTAAAGCAAAAGGAGAGGGAACAATAAAAAAGTGTAACTTGGCCATTAACAGATTTTGGAAAAGTTATGCTGTTTAAATGCACATTTCAAAAGAAATTGCTTCAGTAGCCTACCTTATTGCATGCATTTAAAGTAGGGTTAAGTTCATGCCTGCCTAGATTAGGCACGAATGTCATGTGTGTACTTGGTGAACATACCTGAAAATAACAAGTATCCAGGTGTATGTTATGGCATAAGCAGAGAAACACCTTGGTTTATAACAATGTTTCTCAATTTCATGCCTTACATGTTTGCAACAAACATGTAAACATGTAAGTTTGGAAGAAACTTCCAGAAAACTGTGAAACAACAGAAACTCCTTTAAATCTCAACTAAAAACGCACCTGTTTAGAATTGTATTTGAAACGTAATATGTAACAATGTATTGTTTATTCTATGTTGCATGACTTCATGTTTTTGTGTTTATGGTGTAAAGCACTTTGAAATGCCTTGCTGCTGAAATGTGCTATCCAAATAAAATTTGATTGATTGATTTAATTGTTTCCCTTCTGCCAATCAAAAACAACCACAAAGGAAAGTGACTACTGACACCCTTGTTGATTTCATCACCCAGGACAAAAGACAAATTCTACATCTTAAGGTGAGTTTAAAAACTAATTCTGGCCAGAAAATGATAAATGTCTTTTTTTGTTGTTTTTTTTTTTTTTGTTCACCCAATATTTTTGCAGTACTTTGTATCACTTACAGGCGGCCATCGCAGGAAATGTTTCGTCTCCTTTATTTGTATAGCACATTTCAGCAGCAAGGCATTTCAAAGTGCTTTACACCATAAACACAAAAACATTAAGTCATGCAACATAGAATAAACAATACATTGTTACATATTACGTTTCAAATACAATTCTGTCCATGTCGTATCCCTCGTAAGAGCAACAGAAATACAATAGTACATAGGGTTTTTTCCCCTTGATATTCTGCTACTAATTTTGTGTGACTGATAAGACATGCCAATCTATGAAGAAATTCATTATTTGTTGTGTCGGAGCAGAAGAAATTCTTGATTTCCAATTGTCCACATGCTTTTGTGTTGCCCAAAGGTCAGCTATTATGAGTTAATCCTCAGGATTGTTTTTAGTTGTTTAGTACATCGGGTCGAACTATTCCACTTTATCGTTCCACCTATTTGTTTTGGTTGGCGCAGCAATCAATCATTAAACCTCATATAATGGAATTTCTATCAAACTTAGACTATTACAATGTGATATTAAAATACTGTCTTTTTTGCAGTACACTGTGAGGTGTGCCTGTGTGAAAAAGATCTGCCATAAACACTGACAGGGGATTTAGGTGGCTTTCAATTTGGCATGGTTGTTGATGGCCTTGTTTGCAGCCTGGTTTGGCAGCAGTAGCTCAAACAACCACTGGTTGCTAACAAGATAAGTAGAATACCATTTTCTCATGATCGGTAGCACGGAGACTTAAGCAAGTATATGTGGTTGGATGTGCTACACTCCCTGGCAACCAAAATCAACACAGTAGTAAGGTTCTTATTTCTCTCTCTTTCCATGTCTTTTATTCCCAGGTGTTTTATGTAATAATCTCTCCCCGGTGTCATTGTGTGCTCAACAGCTGTTTGTCATCTGCAAGGATGGATGATAAATCAACATGTTTCCTTATTGTGGAAGGAAACATGCTGGCATCTCATGGGCTTGTTTGCTTTTTTTGTTAATGATGCTAATTTTCTGTATTGATAATTTAAAATATCAAGTCTTTCTGAAGCTGAAAGAGCTATTTGTTTTAAAGGGGTGTAGTTTTCTAGTGGTAAAACAACTGCCCTTCCAGTGCCTGGAAGGGCAGTTCAGGAGTCCAGGAGATGTCCCATCAGACCGTCAGTTTCCTAAACCACACACAAAAGCACATGCAGGATCAGTGCAACCCCATCTCTTAAGACCGTGAGAGTGTTAATCTAGTCTGTTGACCTTATTGTGAATAAGTGGACTGTGTTCCCGATTGATAAAATGGTAGTTACTGAAATTCAAGTAACTTTTCTGGCCCAATAATTACATAGTGTACAAAGTTTCGAGCTGAAGATTAGGAATTCATACATTTCCCGACATAAATTCATACCAATTTATTCAGTCACATTGACATTTGTCAAGGTGAGGACTCAAAACCCACTAGTGGGATGGAATGGGTCTTGGTCACTGGCTTCGGGTCATTGGAACAGCCCCATCAATTTGGATGATTGGGATGAACTATAAGAGACATATCGGTTAAAGATTCTAGGACTGACAGAAATTTCTCTGTAGATCTCTGCCTGATCTAGAGAGAATTTATTATTCTGAATCTTGTCTCCCTGACACCTTCTGGCCATCTCAAATCTCCTGGAGTTCATGTAAACAAACTACTCCTTCTCATCTCCTCACCCTCCTGAAGTCACCCTGATCTCTCAAGGACTCGCTCTTGATTATTTCATCTTTATCAGAGACTTAATTTGGGAAAAGAGTCTGCGAGAGACATAGGCTGATCTATAAGCACGTCAGTTACACCAGGAGCACCGAGCTTACATACTTTAGATAAACATTAGATTATTTTCTTTCTTTTGCTCTTGCCTATGGTTTATTTTGTTTGTATTTTCTTTTAATTCATGTAAAGCACTTTGTATTGCCTTGATGCTGAAAAGATGCTATATAGATAAAATTACCTTGCCTTATTGTTCCAGCATTGACAATAATCCCCAGCAAACATCAAAACTGGTGTTGGAACGGATAAAGCAGAATACCATATTTGAAGAATTGTCAGCTATCCAGCCAAAATAATACCAACAGACTCTTGATGGTAACAAAAACAGACTGTCAACTTAGAAGTTGCTGGCATTTGACCAAATTTCAGTCTGCATTTATGTATATATTTGTATGTAATTTTAACAACGAACAAATTCCTTCCACCTGTCAAAACTGCCTCATCCCAAAACGGTTGCTGGTACCTTTCTTTTGCAGCCATCAGGCAATGTCCACCCTGGACAAGTCATCAAGCAATCACAGAACAACTCAAAGACCTAGCATTATTTTTATACACTTCTTACTGTGTGAGGAAGTCGAGTACCCTCGACGCATGGTGAGAACATGCAGACCCTCTAAATAAACCGCAGGCCAGAATTATTAAAGTGCTTCTTGCTGTGAGGCAACAGGGCTAAAAACTATCACTTTGCAGGCCAGATTAGAAAAGAAATCTACAAATTGTTCAAAATTGTGCAAGCAGTCCTTGTGAAAAATAATAACAGTTGTGTAATTGTTACACCCCCCAAAAAACTTGATTCAAATTATAAAATGTCTCATATTAATGTGGGTTTTGTACTGATATTGAATGCCTATAAATTTATCAACAAAACTGTAGGTGTGAAATTTTCTAGAATTTTAAATTCAACCCTTTAACTTATTGCTTCAGTGTCAATAACTTAAGTAAAATTAAATGTAGAAATTCAAAAGATTTCTGATCGTGATGTACATTTTAATCACCATTACTTCAGTGTAACCTCAATTTAAGCCAATATCGTTTGTACTGACATAAGTTAGATTTTATTAGTCCACTTGGGAAATGTTTTGTCATTGGACTGTATCCATTCACAGACAATGTTCACCAGAGAAGTCAATAGAAAACACATTCAAGAAAGTCCAAACTCCCTTAGTTCTTTATAAATTCTTTGTTTTGGGGCATATGTAAGATAAAACAACATCTATCATGTTCTTAACTATGGGTGGTTGTGGGTGGAGGTTGTGTGGCAGATGGTGGGCTACAGACATCTCCCAGGCGTCCACTAGTTTGACTTTTACTCTTTTAAATATTGCCCTGAGGACCTGATCACGCTGTAGCGAATACCAGTCGCTGTTGGTCAGTGTCTCATACAGTGTCAACGCTTTGGGGTTTGCGGTCCTGATAATGACAATAGTATCTGGAGACCTCCTCAACAGCCGCACCACCGCTTTCCGAATGTTCAGCAGACGTCGGATGTAGACCTCAATGGGGAAAGTGCTGAAGTGAGACCAGATGCCAATAATTACAACTGTATTGGTTCCCCCAACCACACGATCCAGTTCGTTGGCAATATAATGGAGATCACTGATAGGGATGATGCGAAAACGGATAGGAGGGCCGTGGCTGCGGAACGTCAATAAAATGTTTTTTGCGTAATCCAAAGCCAGGAACGGTCCGGTTTGATTGGAACTCCGCAGGTCAAACTCCTTTAGATCTAAGGCAAAGAGAACAGAAGAGGCAGCAATGTGAACCAATTTAAACCCTGATTTCAGACATTTCTAATGGACACATACCTGGTAGCGATTGGTTTAAATATTCAAACCATTGTCTAATGGTGGAGTCTCCATACAGGTGGAGTGCTTTGTTTTTCAGACACTGGCTGATTGCTGAGATGGTGTTAAACTGGTGAACTATGGTGCCATCTAGTGACCGCCAAGCACCTTGGTAGTAATAACCAGAGGGGCGAGACTGCATAGTTTTTTTTACTCCACTAGGAAAGTCCCAAGGGAAGTTGAAATCTAAATAAATAGAAGGCAAAAAATAAAAAAAAGAATAATTCTAAACATGATCTTAAAAAATCTTACATATTGTCAAATTGTTAGAAGACTGGATGTTTGCAAGCATTACTTTTTATAACCTTACCGGATCTGTAAACGTATTCAAATTGACTCAGAACTGGAAGAAGAAAAAAGAATTGGAAGTAGGTAGATTGATTAGCTTTTGTCTGCAGATTAATACTCATCATGGACAATCTGCATACAGACAAGTTCACCTAACTTTTTTCCTCATGCCATGCTTGTCATGTATTCAGCAGTACAGACATTACGAAGGTGGCGGTAAAAATGTTATACCTTGGATGTGTGCAGGTCCTGAGGCTGGAATGGAGACCTTCAAGTTGACACCACTAACACAAAGATGAAACACTTGTCACGTTCAGAGAAATAGAAAAGTCAAAACAAAGTTTACTAAAAGTTTGTTCGTATGAGTCAGACTGAACTGGACGGCAGTTGCCCATATTGGCAAATTGTCCTGGGACATTAAGACCCAGGACAATTTTGAGCTTTGATCACTTCCATGTTATTTATGCTTGTGTTGGATATATTATTATTAATCAATCTTAATGTGTGTAGATTCATTAATACGTTTGTATTGGTGAATACAAATAGTATACACAAAGCTTGTAAGCTTCCAATAAAATGGTATGGAAGAAGAAGAAGATTGGTTTTCATTGGACACGTCTAGTTACTAGTTGGTCACCTAGTCCTCAATCTCAGCTTCATGTCCTGTTCCTGTTTTGTAAGTTGGATTTTTGTTCTTTATATTTTTCGGTAAAGCTTGTCAGCCCACTGAAGTTGTTTGCATTTCGGTCCAGTTTTAAACCCACATTTTATGGCATAAATTATGCCAGACTAAATGCATTTCCATTACAACTGGACTCTAAACTTCCCCAATATTCCACTAATGTTGGAAAAAATAAAAAAACTCCCAATTTTACAATTGCGGTGTAGAAATGCGCACGCCACCGTCTCGTACCGCTTCTTTTTTGTGGCTTCTGCCAGTGCCAATATCACGTCACTTTTTGGTGCATCCAGAAAAAAACAAAACACACATCTAATCGTAGCGACAACGGGTTTTATCAAAGAACAAGTTCAAAATAGCTGTGCCTTCATTAAGCAAATTTCTCTTCGAAATGTCAAATTGTGCAAATATAATGGAAATGCACCTATAACCTGTAAAATTATGTATTATTAGATGACAATGGCAATTTGTGAGCTCATTGCATTGCTCTTAATAGAGGTCGTAATCAGTTGTCTCTGGACGTATGTAGTCATGCAGATCATGACTCAACATACATAAAATAACAAAAATAATATTAAAATAAAAAACAAGAACTAAATTTCTGCATTTTGTCATTTATGTTTATGTGTGTATATCTGGAGCGTTATGTATAAATTTAACATTTCGTTTACCTTTGAAAGAGCTTTTCCTCTACTGGGCTTAGATATACTCTGAATCCTCCTTTGGCGTGGGTGATCCTGGTATCACAGCTCAAATTCTTTGGCTTGTAGCAGAACCAGGGCTCACCTGTGCTGAGATCAGTGTAGTTGCACAGCCTCCGACTTGAATTGAGGCATATGTTGCAGGTTGTGATTTGATGCACTGAACCCAGGCGGAAAAAACTGCGGAAATAAATTCTGTCAGGTTGCTCTCGGGTCAGTTTTTCCAGCACGGCGACTCCCTCACTTGGGTGGACCAAAGTCACCTTGCAGAAATGAGAAGAAGAAACATTACCAAAAGTTTTAGGGGTTATTTATCAGGAAAAAAAACATACTGATTCAATTCCAGAATACTTAAAACATTTGCACACATTAAAGTACAGGTCAACACAATTGCTTAGTTTCATACAAAGAAAGCAGTAAGTTTTCGATGTCTTCTTTCAAATTTGACATAAAAAATGAGCTTGTAGAGTGTTTTTAAAACCTGCTTAGCACATATACTGTCTACACTAACAGCTGCTTTGGAGGATTAAAGCACTATATGAAAGCACGATTCCTAGTTTGTTAAGCTATTCCTGTTATAACAGTAGCACAACATAAGTTTTTTATGTTGAAAAATCTTGTGTCCAAACAAACTAGATTCTAACCATTTTTAAGCTCTATATTATATGCTATGCTCTTTAGCAGGAGTAATTTAGGAGATAACTCTATACTTCCATAATAAAAAATAAAACATGCTGTGTGCATCTGAACATGAGGAAATTATTTATATTTTTTGTAACATTAACTCTAGTCAAGTCTTTGAAGCTTCTGAGTCTCCCATCGTGATGGATCAACATTTTTTGTGGCGGGGGATGAAAGGAGTGCAATTTATTTAGATGGTTTGGACTTGCTTAGAAAAGAGTCAATGATCATACGGGTAGACAGATGCTGACGTTGGAACCACAGGGCAGGAAGACCAAAGGGATATTTATGGATGTAGCAAAAGAAGACATGAAGTTAGTTGGTGTGAGATAAGACTACATGGAGACAGATGAATCGCATTTCCCTGTAGGAAAACAGTAAAAGAGAAGTGTTCCTACATTATTAAAATACATTTGTGTTAAACGACGGTTTACCATACAACCTGGTCTCACCTCAACGTGTGCGCTTCCTTCCCAGAGTAAAGGGAATACGGCAGTGTAGGAGCCATTGCGATGATCGAAAACTCGCCCCACCACACCTGCGTTAAGAGTAGGGTTGTGCAGCCGAGCAAGTAGGAAGTCTCCGCCTGATGTTTTGGGCCGACCATGGAAGTCAGACATTTTTATCAGAACCTCCAGCTGACCCCCTATAAACCAACTTCCCTGTTTGTTTGGGAGAATGGTGAAGGTACTGTGAGCGGGATCACTGGTGTCATTCAAAGAGAGGTGAGGTGGCAAAGAAAGCGTTTCGGGCCAGGCAATTGAGTGTTTCAGAAAATTTGCCACTTGCGCCTCCTTTGGTGATAGTGAATGGAAGGAGCAGCTGGTTTGAGCAATACTGTTGGTGAGTTTTACCTGAAAAAAACAAAACACCAATACAAATCAACTGCCATAGTCACACAGATCTAAAATCTATCAGTAATTTGTTTTGCGGTGTGAAGATTTCAGTTTCTAGGCTAATTGTTCAGCTGCAGCTTCTCTAAGACTTATGTACAGAAATGAGTTTCTACACCTGAGAGTCTGTATCCATGCCTTAAATCACCATGTGGTTTTCAAGCTTCTCACCCCTTTGTCACATCAAGAAAAACTTTGCACCCAACAACTCCTGGTGTTACTTTTGTATATATCCTCAAACACAGACATACTTGAACTCAAGTACGTTAAAGCCTCCACATACATAGGCGCAAACACAAAAAGGAGAACTTTGAGGGTTTTTTTTCCATTCTTCTGCACAGGGATCAGATTTTAGGATTTACAAACTTGTTACTGATAACAAATTGAGATGTGCAACAGGCATTTTCTCTTTTCTTGGTCAAGAAATAATTTTCTCAGTCTGAAAAATTTTCCCCTATAAGTCTGGAGACACGACAGATCTTGGCAAAAACCTTTAATACACCTTCATGTTATGTACACCTAATCTCTACAAATCAAATCCATCATAAGACTCACAAACTCACCTTGGTCACTTCACATGTTCTTAAATAATTGTCTCCGAAAAGCAGCAGAATAATGACATTCAAAGTCAAGAGGAGGTAGATGACTCTGAACTTCAGACAGCAAAATGCTCTCCATGCTTGTGGTCTCATCATCAGTGATGTCTTTGTTCGATCCAAGGTTAAAATGTAAAAGCTGGGGGGAAAAAAGCAAATGTATTATTAAGAATCATTCTTTCTTTATCTGTTATTGCTATACAAAAAAAAATTGTTTTATTTTATTATTTTACATTTTGTGTAAAAAACTTAAATGTTTATTTATAATAGTGCTGACTTCAAGCATAACATTTTGTGATTTTTCTTATTTTCCTTAGATGTGTTGAGTTTGACCTCTAACCAATTAGTGTCCAGACAATTTAAGTTCTCTATTAAATTAGTCTGATATCAGTCAGAAATGAGTCCTTTATTTTTTACTGAGACCAGCAGGGGGCACTGTAGATAATTTAAAAAGAATGTCTTTGGTGATGTGCTGTGGTGGTGCAGGGGTTAAGCATAACCTACATATGGAGGCCTTGGTCCTCAACGTGGCTGTAGCAGGTTTGATTCCCGGCCTTGTGACCTTTGCCGCATGTCTTCCCCTTCTCTCATTACCGACTTTCCTGTCAATTAATTATCAAATGAAGGGCACTAAAGCCAATAAAACATTTTTTTAAAAAGTTTTTGCTTCTGACATTTTCCAAACTGGAGGGTTGCAAATGGTAAGTGGATGAAAAATTTTGCAATCACTGAAAGTTATGATTTCAAAAAGTTCCTCACTGAGAGTTTGCTGTTTTTCCTCCAGCATAGCCTGCAGTGCATTTATTACCTCGGTTTGTGTAAGAATATTGATACACACAACAGACCATCTCACCATCTCATGCTAGCGCAAAAGCTTTACATCAAAAAACGAGTTTATTCCATGAAGCACATTTATTTCGTAGTTTCAATTTGCACATTTTTTTGGTCAGTGGCTATGGATGGGCCCCACAAGGAGGTTACAAAAGACCTCATTGACCCTCTCTACCGTGGTTTGGGGAATGACGTAGCTGAAGTTTGTTTTTTTTTAACTACAATTAATCTGATTGGTGAAGAATTCCAGCCTGTTTCACCTTAAATTGGCTCAATAGTAAAAAGAAACCCAAGGTGACCTTATGTTTTAACATCATTAATCTGTCCTAATGTGAATTGGGATTCCCCCCGAAGAGCTGGAAAAGCGGGAGGTCTGGGCCTCCCTTCTGAAGCTGCTACCCCCGCAACCTGATCCCAGATAAAAAGGAAGAGGATGGATGGATGGATGGATGGATGGATGGATGGATGGATGGATGGATGGATGGATGGATGGATGGATGGATGGATGGATGGATGGATGGATGGATGGATGGATGGATGGATGGATGGATGATGGATGGATGGATGGATGGATGGATGGATGGATGGATGGATGGACTATCTTATCTCATACTGTCGCAACATGATAAATGTTTGAACAAATATGTTCGTAGAAAAACAACAAAAATTTGGAAAAACTTATTCTAACTGAATGATATAACTGAACATGGAGAATCATCTTTTCTTGCAGTTGTTCATCGCTACTGAATCTCTACATTACTGAATCAAAAAACATCAGAAAATAGTTTGAGATTCTTAAAACATTAAACATGCAGCCTGAAATGATGGAACAGCCAAACACAGCACAGCCAGCACCCTGACATGAGGCTGGACCATGCAGTGCCTCGAAATGTGGAGCATTATAAAGGATGGCTGCAGCTGTTGACTTATTATCCAGCAGATCTGGGTTATTTCCCCTGAGCTGGAGGTTCTTCCTCAAGGTGAAGAGTTTTCCTCCACTAGAGCTCAAGGCAGAGATTATATTCTGCTTTCATCGAGGATTGGTCTTCTTGTTTTAGTTTGACCTTGGAACTGTGAGGAGGGGGTTGGAATGTAGGTGCCTCATCATGACATAAAAGAAAGAATTATCACATCACCTTTTTTTTATTATTTATGACTCAACACTTTAACAAATGTATTGTAAATAACTAAAATAATTACACAACGTTAAGACATCAATTGGGATTAGACTACTGCTAAAGGGAAATCATGGATTAGTCATTCTAAGAATTACTTTGGATGAGATTTGTCATGCATTAGTTTTCAGTTCTTTAAAGCTTTCAAGTTTAGCCAATCTGATTTTAATATGTTGAATTGATCACTCACAAACCATTCAATGGGCATCTTTTTATGGATGTTTCTGTTTTACCTTTCAGTAACTTCAGAAGTGGCCCTGAGGGTGACAAACACTGTGGGATGATTTTGTGTCTCCTGTGACTGCAACTCAAGAATGATCCGGTCACACTGAAAACTTTGTCGTTAAAAGAGTTATTCTGAAAATAATATTGAAAATTTACTCTTGTTGATTTACGAATTTAAAACTCAAAGAGAATCACTCTCAAAGTGAGTAAGAGACTTTAATTTACCCAAACAAACAAACTGGCTTCCCTTTTTAATTTCATCATTATTATAAGGACCAAAATCTTTGTTATTGTTTCAGAAAATAGAGACATAGTGACTCAGAACGTCTGTGTTGCTTAAGAGTTTCAAATGTGATTCCCAACAAACTGGAAACAAATCCCAGTGTGTTCACTGCGACATTACCAAGAACTGCGTGGAGCAGCCATGCCTGCGGTCACGCGCAAAGACCTGCTCTGTAGTCCACCGCGTGGAAAGAGCGCGAGCTCGGATGGGAGGTGGAGAGGTGAGCGCGTGTCCCGCGAGCTGTCCGCAGTGGGGAGGGGTTCAAAGCGGAAAGGCGGTGCGGGAGCGGCGCCTCGCCCGGCGAAGCCGCGCGTAATGCTGTGCGGGCTCCGCGGGGCAGGATGCTGGATCATGAAGCGGCGGCCGACATGCGGCTGGTCCAGCAGATCGGCGCGAGCATGAAGATCCAGGGCGGCGGCGCGGGCGGCGGCGAGCATGTCGGTTGCAGCAAGGTCGGAGACGGCCAGGACGGCCAGGTCGTGTGCTTGCAATGCCAGGATGAGGTGGTGCGGGTCTGCCCGGGCAGCCCGCGCAGCCCGCGCCGCGCCTTCACCACGCGCCTCTCCTCCGGTTCCGCAGGTATAAAAAAAATTTAAAAAAAAGCATCCTGTGCTGCATCCAGACTTTGATGTAATGTTTTACAATTTCTACCTTCACTGAAAATCTAAAGCATAGGTTTAAAAGTAGTGGGACACTTTAGTCCAACTCAGGTTTATACGCAGCTACAGATTCACTCTAATGTCCAAAAAGTAATCTAGAGTTTGGCTGTTCTCACTGAGCATGAGAATGTTGGTCATGCATTATGTGATGGATTTTGGATGATGGAGCTGCTGACCTCCAACAGCTTTTGAAACAAAATGTCTGCAGGTCTCTGTAAAAGTGGAGTCAATTGTAATTGCTAAAAGCCAGTCAGTGATAAACAGCCTCTGTGCTGCTGCTGTTCTGTCTGGTGTAAGATTAGAGAATTGGAACAGGAAGTGATATGGAAAGGAACTTTTTATTTATTTTTTTAATAATCAGAAACATCTGTTGGTTACTCTGTCCCAAGCAGAAATGTAAAGGAAGCATCTGAAATATTTGTAAAGAACAAACTAATTTGATTTATTTTTATTGGTTATTCCAGGAAACATAAATCGACCAACCCGCCTAAGGGTAGATGTAACCTCATTTTTTTTTATTGGACTATTGATTGAGTGATATTTAGCCTATTTTTGGGCTGTCACGAATTCATTGGCCATTGTAGATGAAAATAATGTGCAAGTTTCCTTCAAAAACCCAGAAAAACCTTGATTGATTTAAGAAATTTACTAAAAATTTTCTCAAAAGATGAAAATAACAAACAAAAAAAAAACAGTTTTATTTCTGGAAATTTCCTAAGTTTGAAAAGCTTAAAAACTCAGAAAATTACTTGTTTCTTTCTAGAAAATTTTTGAGATGCATCAAAAAAGTTTTTTTTTTTCAGAAAATGTTCAAATGTTGAAACACAAATTCTCAAGTTTTTTAAATAGAAAATTTCCTAGATTGATCTTAAAAATTTTCTGTCTTTTTTTTTTTTTGGCTTTTGAAACTCTAAAATTCTAACATTTTTCCAGAAAAAACTGAAAAAATTTTGTGATTGATCACAAAATTTCTGTTTGTTTTTCTTGCACGTTTTCAGCGTCTTAATCTCAGAAATTTTCTATTGTGTGTTTTTTTGTTGTTGGGTTTTTTTTTTTTTTAGAAAATTCACGAGATTAATCTTAAAATCTGCGACGGTCATAACACGCTGTTGTCACATAAGGCGCCCCTATGAATGATGGGAAACAAAAAAGCAGCATTCATTTCAGAAACACACATTGTTTTGTATTGAAAAGTTTGGCACAGTTTAGACAATTACTAATCTCTATAAACTTAGTAGTCTTGAATTTCCAGAATGAATTCAGCCTCGGTGTCTTTTTAAGGGAACAGTTTATTGACATAAACATAATGAAGACGAATGAGATGAGATGGTAGGCTGATAAAGGTCGACGCACGAATCAGGATGAGAATCAGGGCAGTGAAGAAAAATATCTCTGCTATCGAATTTAAATTACCTGTTCGATTTCTCCCCTCCTATTTTTGACCTTATCTTTGCTGAAGACATCTGTCCAAGCAGACATCTGGGTTGAGGGAACTAATCCAGTAGGTTTGCGATTTGGTTTTTCTTGCGCTGAGACAGATTAATGATCACTGCAGTCTCCCTTCAGAGCCGGTGTTCCACAGTAGGGCTGTAGTTTTTCAGTGTGGAGGAAATTTTGTTTGTTGACCGTAGGAAAAATGAATTATGGAATCGTTCGATTCATTCCTGTAAGTCCACAACATAAAAAGGAATCATTTAGATGTTGTCCATTACAATGACTGACGTTGTAACTAGGCGTGTACGGGAATTTCAAACTCCCAAGGTGATCCAAGATATTGAGTTCAGAGTCGAGCTTTCATTGGGATAGAAAACGTTTGTTTCTGCAAAAGCAACCCAAGTCTATTTTTTCCTTCATTAATCTTTTAAATCACAAATAGTCCAAAGATATTATTAAGGCGCAAAACATTTGTAGTAAAGAACAGCTTCTGTTTTTTATTATTTCTGTGTGTTTGACAAGATTGGAAAGCTTTGAATCCACACTTTTCTTTCAGAATCTATAAATGACTCAAAGCAGTAGCAGAGAAACTATACCGGGGGCTAAAAAAAAAAGTGAAATAAAAGACCGCAAAAAAGTAGTATTTTTCAAAAAGTAGTATTTTTCAAAAAGTAACTACGCTGCAGAGAAAAAACGAAGAGAAAAAGCAAGTATATTTGAAACTTAATGAGCAACTAGAAACTGAAGATTAAATAATTAGCCTGATGTCCTAAGAAAAATATCGAAGTATTTTAATTTCTTTTATTTACTGTTTACTCAGTGTTGTCAGCTTTCAGAAGTTGGTTAATAATTAGTTTTAGAAAATAGTGGCAGTTGAACTTGACACCCTCCTTGTGGTGGCTTTGAGATATAACACCCCGATAGGAGCTTCACCCTTAAATATGACGCACAAAAAACAAACTGCACATTGTGGTGATGCTACCGAAACATGTCGCTAAACGCAGCACAAATATATAGACGATGAAAACAATCCACCAAATCCTCATGTAATGTTTGTGAAAAAGCTGGTGTGGCACAGCCCTCTGCCATAGGAAGTTAGAAAGGCAACATTGGATCAAAAATAATAAAAATAATTTTAAAAAATACTTTTTTTCCACACTAATTTCTTATTCCCCTGTCTCTCTCTTTAGTATTGTTGAAACTGTTAAAAATAGTTTGATAGCCAACATAGTTTGAAAAATTATTTGAATAGGACAGCAGCACAAGCGGCTTCTGTTTTCAGATGTTATCCCTAGGACTATGTAAGCACTAATCTCTGTTCCTCCATCGCCTCCAAGGTTAAGAATTGCTCCTCTCAGTGTAGCCTGACTTTGTTCGGGGTGCTAACGCTGCAGGATTAGAGTTTCATTCTAGTAACCTTGCAGGTTCAGGAATTTTCTCAATCTCCCCCGCCGGAGCAACACAACACCCAGGGGCTGCTTGACATACTTGGACCTGCGAGACAGAAATATTTCCCCTTACCTTTGGACTACAGAAACTTTTAATTGCAAAAGCATCGATTGTAAAAACCCAACCAATGCTTGCTTTGCATTGAGAAAATCAATATCCTTTTTTTCTTCCCCCTCCACTGCAAGTTACTTTGGATAACACTGCCTTATTTATGCGTCTCACAGACCGTGAACCCAGCAGCAGCAGCTACAACGTCTCTTCAGGAACATTTTACAGCTGCGTCAGTCAGATCACCATCGGTAAGTCTCACAGGAACTCAATTATTGGTGAGAGGGGGGGGGCGTTCATGTGCACAGGATGGTTTTGCTGCATGGTGGTATTAAGTATTGCGGGGAACACTTTTCAAGCTTCCAAAACCAAAAGGGCTCCACAGCAGTGGTCATCGCCTCACACAAAAGGTCAATTTCAGATAGATTTTCAATAGGACTGAGGTTGTTTTAGCCTAATGGAACAAGAGCAAGAACAATCTATCGTTATATCTAAAAATCCATTTGATTAGACGAAACCTTTTTTGGACTATCCGGAAAGGTATCTGCATTTACATTTTTAATAGTAGGAGTAATAATTCAAGATATCTTCAGTTACATTTTGACAAATCAAAATCCCCTTCAAGACATCTCAAATGAGGTCACCAGATCTGCAGTTGATGGGCGGCACATCCAATTACAATTTATGACCACTCAAATGTCAAAATGACTTTTTTCGGTGTCTAGAAGACATGTGCTCTCACTGAGTGTCCAAACAGAATTTTAGGTTCCCCAGCACAAAGTTGTCAGAAAATCTCACAAAGTCAAAAGAGTGTGGCCTATTAAGAAAATGCTCAATTTAATCAACTTGAAGACTGCTTCAGAAATCTGAAAGTTTTTCACCTAAAAATGGCTCTGAAACTCTGAAAGTTCTACTGCCAACCCATTCCCAAAGCCCCTCATTTTGACTGGTCAAAATTATAACTCCAATTATGTCCAGTTGAATTTTGATTCATTATTTGCTGTCGAGACAATTCAACTTGCACCAGACCAATCAAATCTATTTAACTGTCTTAAAATACATTGTGGCAAATCAGAACCAAAAGCAAGACGTCCCTCGTGAAACCGATTTTATGTTAAGACGGCCTGCCATACCTGCCCTCATTACGCCTGGGCTCACCCACCTGTTTGTAAAGATGGCGGTCTCCCTCCGAGACATAGCAGCTGGAACTCCTTGTGCTTCCTTGGCGGACCTCTGCTACTGTAGCTACATCTTTTGTGAGACCGATTAAAAAGGAAAAAAAAAAAGATAATAGTAAAATAAAAATCCAATAGAGTAAAACACGTCCGCTCTTTGGCTCCAGCCGCTCCGACGCGTCAACACGGAAGTTCTGGAAGCAGGTGACGTCATCGCGTCCTGAAAGATTAACCCTCTTGTGACCATAAGAGGCGTATTAAGACCATTATATAAAAAACATTTTCGCCAAAAATGTCAGAAATGGTTTAGTTGACCTAAGAAACTTGCTAGAAAACGTGGAAATTTCTGAGTTTGAAAAGCTAAAAAAAAAAGGCTAGAAAAACAATTTCTCTGAATTTTTCTAGAAAATAAAACATAGGGAAGCCGATTTCCTGTCCCCATGGGTTTAACAATGGGGCCAGATTTATTGGAATAGTTGTTCTTTCTCTCTCCCTTTAGTAAAAGAAATAAGAATAATAAAAAAATTACACACACACACACACACATATATATATATATATATATATATAATATATATATATATATATATATATATATATATATATAATTGTTAAACACATGCTTTTTGAAATTGCATTTTAATTTTTTTCTAATTACTTCTGAAACAACAAAATTTGGTAAAAGAACAAAGCAGGAGAAATCTCTGTGGAGTCTTCTTGTCTGTATGTACTGCTGCCATTTTCTTACAGTCAACCGTTCTTCCTTTCTTCTTTAAAGTCTAATGAAGCGCCGACTGAGAGCTGTGGAGTGTTGAGCTACACTCTGTTGGGTTTTTCAAAGACAACGATCTACGGCCTGCTCCCTGACATTAATTAGAGGCGGCTGTTATTTCAGAGCCTCTGCTTTTGTCTTAAAGAAAAGAACCAGTCAGCATCACTGTAGGTTCTTCAAAGTTCCAATCGATTCTAATCCTCCGGGTTCTTTATTGTCGTTGGGATTTACTGCAGTCCTGCAGCTCACAGTCAGTGTTCCCCTTTGGGCAAAGATTTGGTGAAGGATGATATAAAAATGATTTACATTACGTTGCTGACAAATTGGCAGTACTTTACAGCAACTCAAACGGACTTCAGTTTAGATTGATCTTTGGACGGGGTGCAAGAAGGGGACTGATGTTTTTCTTTGTTGGAAAAACAAAAAAAGAAAAGAAAAAACTTAAATGAATCACTTTTTCCCCAACGAATTCCAGGACGGCTACTTCCTTTCACTTTACTGGTAAATATGCTCCAATCATTCCATGTGTAATAAGCCGAGCCGCTCTGCAAAGGCAGCAGAGGTTTGTTAAAAATTAATCATTCACTCCAGGAAGTTGCGTTGCCAACCATTAATGCGAATTCACTCATCATACCTAAATTTACAATTTTCACCAGTTATCGCTACTGTTCTGCAAACCTGACCAATGACCTGAACACTTTTTGAGCTCATATTTTATTAGCTTACTTGAGTCAAAGTTGTTGCTGTTTGGAATTTTGCTTTCTTTGTTTTATCAAAACAGGTCTGAATAAATATCGATTAAAAAGAAAAAGTCCTTCTTCGGTGACAAATCAGTGTGCCACCGCTGAATTCTGGCCAATCCCTTTGTCTCCACCTCAAATTTAACTTCCTGTTTGTCTCTTGAAAGCCAAACCTGGATCTTGAAAGCATGTTTGAAACTGTAAAACAGTAACATTTGCTTTTATTTTTAGATTTTTTATTTTTGCAAAAACTATTGTGAGATGTCCCGTAGAATTTATTTCCACTATTTAAGAAGTTCATGTTAGCTTGATGGACCAATATGAAATTATTTTGGACTTTGAAAACACTTTAGGACATGATTTACTCTTATTATTATAATTATTAAGGGTGATATTCAGGAATTCACTTGAAAATGTTATTTGCACTTTACGTATTAACTGTATCCTTATTGCAAAGGTTGTGTGCAGCAATTTCAACTTTTTTTGCATAATCAAAGGCTTTGAAACTTTGACTGCAACTTTTTGAAAGAGGTCATAATGAGCAGATTTCATAAAAAGATAAAATAAATTTGAGCAGGTTTAAAAAAGAAAAAGACAAACAGATTTTTGCATTTTTCATTTAAGGAATTTTGTGGTGCAAATTTTGCAGTTGAAATTAGCCGTCTTTGCTGCAAAACGTTTGGACACTAGTGACCGAAAGTTTAAAACCAGATGTTGACAGATGTACTTTATCTAATCTGAGTTAGTTTGTCACTTACAAGATTACAGTTGGTTGAGGCACAAGGCTAAACTTGTTTCTCCACACTTTTGGGGCTCTGAGTACAAATGCAACCCATGAAAAAAGTGATAGAAATAATTATGCAAAGCACAGGGTTTGTTTTTTTTATGTCCAAGACCTTATTATAGTATTGATCTACAGACGTTCCCCTCAGCAGTTCTCTCCAGCCCAGACCTGTTACTGGCGCCCCACATACCTGCACCTGTGTTTGGTGTGTTTGCTGCGTTTAGCTCTGAGGATGTGAGGAACGTATCTGGGCCTCGCTCTCCTCTTAGAGCCAAGAGGGCACTTTTTTTTATGTTTGTTTCCTGATGACTGCAACACAGATATTGCTTAGGACACACTACGTCCACGCTTTGCAAGTTTTGGAGGTCGTTGGGATACATGCCAGGTGTAGGTTACAGCCATGCCTCCTCCCTCACTGCTGTGTCCAGTGACTATGGTAGATTTTTTTTTTTCTTTCGAATCAGCAGCTCACACTGCTCATTAATGACATTGAAAAATCTGATCTTAATTGAATAAACGGCTGTTTTATAGTTACGTCACAGAATGCACAGGCCACATTGTTGCAACTGTCCTATGGGAGAGAGTGTTTGGTGAAATAGAAAATAATAACTACGTTTCAGACTTTTCTCTTTACAGTTTTGCAGTGAATGCACCACCAGTTGCTTCGAAGCTGGACTGAAACCAAAGGGTTGTCTCTGCCGGAATCACATGCTTCTCCAATTTTAGTTTTCTAGAGTTCACAATCATTTTTGGATAGTTTGTAACATTTTAAGACTGCAATGTGATTATAGAATAGGAAAAGACAGTTATCTGTTTATCCATGTCATATCATGAATAAACAGATAACCGGATGAATTGATGGCTAAACGGATGGATGGATGGATGGATGGATGGATGGACGGACGGACGGACGGACGGACAGACAGATGAGAACTACATTTAACACCACTTTGAGGTATTATTGTTATAGCAATATTGTGATAGAGTCCATATCACCCACACCTACTTGTAACCCTTAATGCTAACCATGACTAGTATATTTCTAACCTTACTCTAAACTTAATTCACACTTTACCTCCAAAGCTGACCCCTGACCCTAAACAAGGGGGTCCACTGTATAACGTTCAGGCTTTGGTCCCCATAAGGTCCATCGGTCTTCAGGAGGTTGGTAAATGTGATTGCAAGTACACACACACACCCACGCACACACACAGAGTGTATATGTGTGTTTATACAAAACAGAAAGCCCAGCAGATTTTGGAACAACTGCACATTTCCTAATCAATAGAGGAGTGGGATGCCTGGTAGTCCCTGAGCCTCTTAGATCACAACTTGGCTCTATGTTTACCACAGGGATTTATTCCAAGGACGGACATGTGGGTCAAACCCAGCAGCTCTCAAAGGTCTTCATAGCCCCTCTGAACACAATAAATGACATTTAATGAACCACACAGTACAATCTGAACAATTTAAGTGAAAAACAATCAGGCAGATAGAAGGACTTAACAGTAGTGTATTATGGAGATTGCAGATATATAAAAAAGGAGTACATTTCCATGCAAAAACTCTGAAATTTTGAGCTTAATCTCAGAAATTTTCTAGAAAACACAAAGAAATTTATAAAGACCACAAGAAAAAGCTTTTTCTTGAAAAGTTCTGAGCTTAATTTCAATATCTCTGTTTTTTTTTTTTGGGGTCAGATTTTTTTTTCTGTCTACAATAGTAATAATATGCCACCATGGAATGTATGACAACGCACTATGTGCAATAAAGTAGTTGTTTGCACACCCTTTTATTGTTGAAGCATCTTTTGAGTGAATCACATCACTTCATCTGTGTTGACTTGGCTTTTTGGATTGTAGAAGTTCTTATTCTGATAGTTTATCAGGAAACCCCACAGTCCTAATATGTATTGAACAAAGAAAAAAGATCAAAGATCTGTCTTTCTAGATATTCCAACCTCGTGAAACAGGACAGCACTTAGTGCTGTCCAGTTGGGGCAAACAGAGATTATGAGAAGTACTAACATCAAGGCTGATTTCATTTAAAAAGATATTTTATGGCATATAAAATATTGCCAAGCATAATACAGATAATCAAATTAGGATGGATTTGAACTTATTTTTTGCGTCATATGTAGATGCAATAAAAGCTGGATTTATTTCAAGGCTTTTTACAAATCATCATGCCAGAGGTGCCAATAAATTCAGTAAGTTAAAAATAGCACAATGAAACCTTCTGTTTCTGCTTACTCTGCAGTTCTAGAGTTCAAAATGTATACTAAGATACTAAGATGAGTAACATGCCGGGTCAGACGTCGCCCGGCCAAACAAGGTCTGCGTCAGGTGCTGGGGAACTAGAGCACCTTGATGACAAGTGGGCTACTGGAACAAGACGGAAATGCGCGAGAGGTGAAAACGTGGATCTGTTGGAATGCTACTACTCAAATAACCCTAATCAGAGATATTACATGCAAAGACTGGGGAAGGAATGGTTAACACTAAGTGCTAAACAACTAGTAGCTCAGTGTTCCAACATCCACAAACGACAATTGCTGTCACAACTTGAGATTGATGAGGTACAACACAAATGCTACGGCAAAAAGGAGGAACCTGGATGTCAGAACTGTGGGGACTTAACTACAAGTTCCCACCCAGAGAGGGGATATGCGGCCCCGATGAATGAATCAGAATGCTATAAGAGCAACCATGAGACCCAATACCCACCATGGAAAAGACGGTTTGGTATGGGCAACTATCAGATGCCCAAGGATTAACTGGCTCTCCAGCTAAGGCAGGGTAATAACAACAGCAATACTGGAAAGGCATATGGGAAAGGGAGGTGTCCCACAACAGCAATGCACAGTGGCTGATCT